GCTGATAGTAATGGGAACTGATCTTTACCAGCCAGGTTAAGGGACTCTCAAGACTTGAACTGAGAAGCTAAGTGCTAAACTGTGCAAATGCTAGTAGGCTCACTGTGACCTAGAGGGTGCAAGTTCTGTTAAATGAGATTGGACGAAATACAAACATTGGTGGTGAAATTAAAGATGAAGTCAACATAAGCTTTGGCTGTACTCAAAATCTTTCTCAGAAATACAAGATTAGGAACATTCAGAACTGGTCCTGATACAGTATACTGCAACAAAAAGCTTAAATGTAATGGTATATTTCTTCTGTAAATCAAACAGACAGTCAACAACAGTTGATTTTGTCTGGTTGAAGGTTATCTTTGATTAAGGTTTGAATTAGCTTTAGACAAAACAGAAATAAGTTGGGCATGTTTGTGAAAGTGCCACTTTCCACTGCATGTGGGAAACTTTTTTGGCGCAATCATTTTTCCTCACACTATCTTCATTGCAAGTGGTTGTAAACATTTGCCTTAAATCATATTGGCGAACTAAAACTTCACTTAAGCCAGCTCTGGAGTTGTAAAAGTACTAATTTGGAAAATCATCCTTTCATAAGGACTGGCCGTGTATTCCATTTCTGAGAATCTAAAATGGCTGCCAACAGACGGTGGTTAAAAAATGCCAGTGTAACCTTTATTCACGCAGTTCTGAGGAAAATAACCCAACAGTGCTCTGCTGAAGGAAGCTCCTGCTGTATCTTATCTCTGTGCCCTGTGTGAGCCTTGGGTGTGCGTTTGTCAAGAGGGAGCAGAGATAGATAGGGCGGTTCAGTCCAATGCTGGCCCCTAGCATTTAAACAGACCTCAAATACTCTTTCTTGTCATGATTCATCTCTCAGATCATTTTCAGTGAAGTGTCTCAATTACATTCTGACAATGACAACTGCTGTTACAAATGTCCATAAGGTGTTTGTACCTTCAGCTCAGTAGTGGTTTGTGCTATCTAAATGGGGTGCTTGCAATGGCCCTTACTTGCTTTAATGGACATATCTGATTAATGTTACGGTTGGAGCTTAAATAATGGGTCGGTGAAGGTGAGGGTAAGGGGATTGGTCAAGGTAAGAGTAGTCCCAAGCATCCCACTTAGACACTACCATGTAATATTGTAGGGCTTCAGTAAAGGCATTTCTGAGCTGATTAACTTGTCAATACCAACTATTGCCCTGACTCAAACCTCATTACAACTAGGAAGAAGTGAGTGCTGTGCCATGCCTGCTTGATGTTGAAAAACAACCGAGTCGACAGATATCCAACCCACTTGTGCTTGTCTCTTTCTCTCTTTCTCTCCTTTCTCTGTGTTCGCAGTTCTAAACAGACCAACCTGTGTGTCAGGAAAACAGTATCCTTACACACAATGAGAGGGAGAGAACGAACACTAAATGCTCAAACTACGCAAAATGGTACAGAGAGTGATTTTTCTCTATGGGGAAAAGAGAGAGTTCTGTCTGCCCGTCTCTCAATACTCCCCTAACTCTCCACTCTCTTGGTCAGTCATTCAGCAGAAAAACGGATCGATAAAGAGTTGAAGCTCTCCGTGCCAAGTGACTCCTCGTAAATGGGTACTTAAACTTTTTTTTTCTTTTTTTTTTCTTTTTGGTGAGGTGGGATGGAGGAAGCCAAACGGGTTTGGAGTTTAAAGTGAGAAAATGAAAGCTGTGCTTCCTAATGTCCTGTCTAAGTGGATGTCTCTGTGTCTGATGAAGCGTGAAGTGCTCTGTAACCCTAACAAAATGACTATCATTGTGTTCCTGTGGTTTTAAATGGCCTTCTCCTCAGTGCCCCTATCTCTACCTCCATCCTGCTCAGTATGAAATGGGGAGGCTGAAATGGAGGCCATCCATACATACAGTAATTGCATGAAGGGCAGCTGTTTATCATAGCCACAGCCCTCACACAGTGTAATGATCCAAAGGTTGACCTGTTAACTGCGCTTTAACTTAATATTTCACTGAGTCCATATTGAATATTAGAGTGCAAAAAGTTAGGTAATATCTCTTTTAGATAGATGCCCTATTTGACATTTTGTGATAAATCAGAATACTGAAGTGCTTAAACGCATCCTGTCACTGCTGATTTGTCAGTATGCTTGCAAGGATGTTCTACAACGAAATGCTTTAAACCACCCCACCTTGAAATTTTTTTATGTTTTATTGTTTTGCAACATTTAATCAAAGTGGATATGTTTTTGATACTGTGAAACTGTGACATAGATGAAGACTTCAAAGTAAAAACAAATCCGCACAAAATTATTGGTTAATGTGCTGAAATATAAATCCGTGTCACAGATGCAGACTGCAGCAGGTTTTTCCTCCAGGATTTCTCTGTATTAGTTTACCCTCCTAACCATCACAAGCAAAACATAGGGCCGCCTGCAGAAAAGCACCGCCCCCATAGCATGATGCTGCCACCACTTTATAGAGGGGTTAACATATTTCTGTTGGTGGGAGGTGATTGGCTTGTGCCAAACATATGGGACAAAATGTCTCAACATAAACCTGCCTTTGACTGAGATATCATAATTGTTATTTCAGTACTAGCTTTATCTGCACTGTCTCCCATCTCAGCTCTTTTAGAGTTTCTGTAGCTCCCTTTGTGGCCTTTACTTGAACTCAGTATTCAAGTGTGTCATGCTGTAGGCAGATTAAGCATATTTTTTCAAGATTGATTATACTTTGCTGAGGGGTATTTCTGAATTGAAACATTTTTGTACCCTTCCCCTAACCTACACTTTTGAATGAACGATCAGAAACCATTTGTTTGTAGCATATATAATGTTCACTTTCATAAAGAAATTTTTGCCATGAAATAGACTTACCAGCTGTCAACAGTCCACTGTTAATGTTGTTAAGCCATAACACATGAAAAAATGCGAATGAATACTTAATTTTGGCACTTTCTGTTCTCTGAAGACAGTCATGATCTGTAGTATGACAAGATTTTTCTAACCATAATGTATAAAACTTGTTTCTGTATGTATTATCAATGGATTGCCCGGAAGAAAAATTATTACAGACTAATATCAGTTATTTAAGACATTGTAATAGAGACAGCGTTTAATAATTTGTTAAATTACAATCAAATGTCTTAATCTTGTAAAATGTCAGTATTTTATATTCTTGTACCGTAAAGCCTTCATAAAGAAAACATTTTGCCTTCATTTTGTTGTGTGAGCAAACAAAAGTGTAAACTGAATGATCTCTGTCTGCAAGTGGGTTTTCAGTTGGATCTCATTTCCAACCCTGCATATTTTAAATGCTTAAACCTTATTGATTAAGTGTCCCCTTTGATCCAGTCCTCTGTTTTTATAGTAATCTAATTACAGCCTTATGAAGCATTAATGCAAAAGCCAGTGTTTGGTTATTGCTCTTCTACAAATGTTAAGACATGCAAAATCAATGCCTTAATTCAACATTTGCATTTCTAATGTTGGCATTTTCCAAACTTTATCCCTGTGGAGTCTTGCGCCATTCCCCATAGCCCCAAACAAAATGTGAATGAGGAGGGGATAAACGTGAGTCTGGAGTTGAAACATTTATCAGTGGACTCATAGCTACTGTATAGTTAACCAGGTACAGACCTTGATAAGTGTTCAAGTTGGGTCCTTGGTGCTCTCTTGTAATGATTGACCTTGATATGTGTTCCAAGTCAGGTCCTTGGTGCTCTCTTGTAATGATTCTGTGCCTTAACTGAGACTCCAGTCTTTTTCTTCCCATCAGTCATAAGTATGAGCTTTACACACATAACTCTGGGTCTGAGTGATGTGAAGGCATATGCTCTTATGTGCCAATATTCTTCTTACTCCTCCAAAAATAAATGTTTCAGTTTACTCTAATATTCAAAGGCATACATTGTTTTGTGCCCCTATAAAGATTTCACCTTTTTAAAATTTTAATGGAGAGCAGCAAAGAGGGTTTTTGTTGGCCTGGGTTCTGCATACCTAGAGATGCAATTATGACTTTAAAACTACTTGGAAAAAGGTTTCTACACACCTTTTGCAATGAGACATTGATGAGAATGTTTCTAGTGAAATGGATGTCATTGGTAGTGAATACTGTTTACCTCTGCTAAAGGGGTTTGAGTGGGAGAGATGGGTTTTTGTTGCAGCAAAAGTCGTCAGCCGCTGGTTTCCACTCGAAGCTCTGGAATAATGACATGGGGGACGAACTCAGCCGTGCTCTTGCTCAGTACAGTATGTATCCTCTGATCTTTCTCGCTGTGCTGTTGCATGACCGCCAATCCTGTTACTGCGGAACTCCAGCATCTGTTCTCAGCATTAAACATGTTGATCAAACTGAATCTGATGTTTTTAAACACCGGGCTGGAACCAAATGCCACTCTAGGGCTTGACACTGCTAAGTTGCTTTCATTTCTGCCGCCACGATATTTGCTCATGGTGTCAAGTTAATTTGAATATATTAGTTACATAATCTCTATAGCCATGACTCATGTAGACCATGCAGGGCGTCGTACTGAAAATTCTCATCAGTTTCTTTTTCATTACTGGCAGTCATCTACTTAACAGTTGACATTAATATTTCAAATTATGGAATTGCCTGGGAAGAAAAGGAACTACACTACTGGTTCAGTTGCAGAGTGTTTCTCTTGATGCTCCAAAATGTCAAATTACTTTTTTTTTAAATTTTTTTTTTTAATCAAAGCAAACTGAAGAGGTTGGAACCGTATTTAGCACAAAACATGCACACAGTCTGGTTGGTCCAGCTCCACTGCCCCACATAATTATCAGTGTGCTCTGCCCTGCTGCAACATTATATTCTTATTTTGTCAGGCTTTTATCAAGAGAAATATCTTGAAGTATTTCAGTGTACAGTTTCCTGTCCAGTTAGTAGTCAGCCTACTGGGCCACTTTCTTCTTTTGGGAACTCTTGTGCTCTTGAACCCCCCCTTTTTTTTAAATCCCTGCTTGATGTAATGCTAACGTAGATAACCTAAATGAGCTTTCTGTTAATGATTTTGTCTTGTCTCCGTTTCTCTTCCCTTTGTTTTGACTTCATGACCCCTCCCTTTCTCTCTGTTATGTCGGCCTCTCCAATTTGGCTGTTCACTCTTCTTTCCATAACGTTTCCTTCTTTTTCCTCACCCATCACTTCTGTCTTTTTTTTCTCTCTTTTTCCTCTTTTCCTCACTTTATTATTATTCACTTTCTTCCCTCAACTCTCCTTCACCACTCTGTCACCCTTATTATTTTCCACCACCGCTTCCTCCTCTCTCTTCCATTATCAGATATCCGCCTGCGCGTCCGAGCCGAATACCTGGAGCACGATTCGGCGCTTCGTAACGGTGTCTCCTCGGACAAACGGCAGCCCCTGGAGCGGCAGTTTGAGTTGTTCAGCCAAGCCAACTCACTGCTTCGTGCCAGAGACCTGGGTTCCATCGTCTGCGACATCAAGTTCACAGAGCTGGACAACCTCGAGGCCTTCTGGGGTGACTACCTGAGTGGAGATCTGCTCGAGGCCCTGAAGGGAGTCTTCATCACTGACTCTCTGAGGATGGCAGCAGGCACTGAGGGCGTCCGCCTGCTGATCAGCGTAGACCAGGATGACTACGAGGAGGGTCGAAGACTGCTCTCAGTGTTCGACCATAGGAGGAGAATGCTGTCATCTAGTTATGGTGGGCGCACAGAGACTCACTGGGCTGTATAGGCTGATAAGACTCTTTAGGGTGTATTATATTAACTTTGAAGAATTGGAATAGTAGCTTTTGATAGTTGTGAGTGCAGGTGTAGTTTGAAGCATTTTTAAGGCCTCCTTTTGTAGTCGCAATCCATGTGGAAGCCACTAGATGGCAGCACTTACTATCTGTTGTTTGTGTTCATAACAGGCCTTAAATTTTCAGAATTGTCAGTTTTTGGTTGAAACATTACCATTATTTGTGAAAGAAAAATGAAGAATAATAATGGATCAATGTGCTTTCCCTTTGGATTCATGCACAGGTGCTACTTTGTAAGACACCAGGATGAAACAGGATGTATCAAGATTTTTCTTCTTTGACTCAGTTAGGACAGGAGCAAGCAAACTTGAGCCACAAGATCAAGTGGTAAGCTCACCATAACATTATCAATCTTTAATAAATAAGGTTAAGACAACTGGGCAGCAACAAATGATAAAATACCACTAATTATAGTGTTGACACATTCACATCCTCATGGTCAAGGTTGAGACTAGATATACAGACATACATATAAACAGAAGGAATAGGCAACAATCAAGCATTTATTGAACATTTTGTCAATATATGCGTAGACAGTGGGCATTCAGTTTCCAACATGTCTCAAATACAAACAGACCACTATACCCAATAATGGTTTATTGTTAGTTGCTTGTTTTTTATTGACATGTTGGACTTATGAATTATGATAATGCTAACTGGAACCTTACAACTAATTTCAATGACAAGGAAAGTGTCTGATCTTTCAAAATGTGTGAGAGACTTGTGTGAGGAAAAGTGGGTTGCTCTCAGTGCAGATTGACCTTTGTGTCTAACTTTGAAGAGCCTAGTCCACCCATACACACCTAGATAACAAACACTGGGATTCAGAGCCCTGTGCATCACGATAACCCGACTTGTGATTGCTGTGGTCAGTGGATACGGCAGTTGCCAGTAGATGACAGCGGTGATTAGGGCTAGGCCTCAGCAGACCATGGAAGATTCATCATCCCAGCCTTGTCAACAGCAACCCGGATAATGCAATGGTGGCTTGTGTCCGGGCTTCTAGCTAGGCCTCAGCAAGTGCTTCTCTCAGCAAGTAAAGCACAGGACACTGCGTCGGTCAATAGAAGTGATGTTGGGGAGATCAAAATCAAAAGTGCACATCCCAGCTCCACTCAGCCCTGCTATGTAGGCCCAGTAGAGTGGCTCACGGACAGCTGTCTACTCACCCTGCTGGAACTAATGCCTGGACTTCACTCATAGAAGACGATCAATAAGGCCCCTCCTCTAAGTCCCTTCATACAGGCACGACTTAAGCAGGCAGACTTGCTACTGTCTGAAGTGCAGGACACTGCAGGGCCAGGCATAGGGGAAGAGACAATGGACATATTTTCATGTTTACTTTTGTGTGTCTTTGATAAATAATTTTGTTGATATATGATTGTATTGTTCATATAAATAACTAAATCAGGGGAACATTTTTGTTAAAGAAAATTTGCGTTTGATATGGCAATTCTTTTTGTCAAAATCTTTATAAATTAGACATTATTTCTGGTGAATAATAAAGGTTTGATGGCCTAAATCCGTTTTTGCACATTGTTTTTCACTTTTCCAAGATTTACAAAGCAACAATTGTTGTTTCAATAACTACAATTGATACAATTTTGGCTGCCAATGTTGTGCAAGAGAAGAATATTCTGGAAACACACAGATGTGTTCAAAGATTAAATTTGCCTAAAAAATATCACTCAAGCACCAAAGATCTCCATATGAAATAGGAAACAACATTGTATAGACAAGCTGTTACTGTACTGTGTACCTAAAGTACAATCAAAAACATTTATAACCAAGCCGGCAGCTTAATACATGTTTATAATATTAATTTTAGGTTTTGAAAGATTTTACAGTTTGAAAATTACATATGGCATGAAAGAACTTAAATTAATTGTGTTTTTCATTTGTAGAAACTTTAGAAAATACGCCTTTTTTCACATCTAACTGAAACGTCTTCCACCCAGCACCAGTTTTCATCTTCTGAAAGCTCACCGTCTTATCTTGAATCTCTTTGTCTCACATTTTGTTACAGTGCTTGTTTTTGTTATTTCTCCGTTTTCTGAATTGTCATTTTTCCCGGTCCTCCACCCCTCGTACCTGCATTAGTGGGAGTGTGCCCTCTCCCTGCCCCCAAATGGTCTGAAGAGGTCCATCGAATGCAGGTCACTGTGGATCAGATCCTTAATTATTTCTCCTTGCTCTAAGCTGTCAGCATGATGAAACCCAAGAACGGTGTGTGCTTCGAACATCTTATCAAACTACCCACCCTTGTGCTATATTTTCTTCCTTGTACCATTCACTTGCTTGGAGGCCCAGCAATTACAGTGGACGCAGTGACACAGCACTGTTGTTTTGCGTGTTGAGTCACATGATTTGAGGCACCTTTTTTACTAGAAAATGTGTCTTTGCTCTCGATCAATTTCAATTGCAAACGCTAAAAATGTCCACTTATTTTTGCAAACAATATTTATTTTCAGTTAAGATCATTATTTATGAAAATGTTATTTATGTACATTTTAAACAAACCGAACATTTTAAAACAGTAGTTATAATTTGGACATTTAGCTGCCATAAGTATCCACAAAAAACAGATTGAAACACCTTAAACTTAAACAAGATTATGGTCCTGACAACTGACGTTGGGAGGAATCCTTAACAAAACCAAACTGACTAACTGCATATAAAACACCTTCATTAAACTCTATTTAATTGCTGTCTCTGAGGTATTAAATTGATTTTAAAGTGCCTCGTATTTTTTTTCCCCTTTCAAATACCACCATAGCCTTGTTCTAGGTTACATTGCCAACACCCTTAAAGATTAAGTCCTCTTCTAGATTTAAGATTGTGTGCTTCTCTTTCAGCTTTTGAAAGAAAATTGATGCAGTGCTTTTCTTTATGACATACTTTTCATTCATGTAGCACTGTAGTACAGAGATTAGGACAAACTCCTCTATTCCTAAAGGTCAAACATAAATAAGAAGGATTTTATTCCTTGTCATACTTGCATACTTTCAGAATAAAGAGAAAAATAGTTTTAAGGGTGCAAAATTAATATTTATATTAAGGAAAAGCATTAGAAAAGGATTAGTCAGGATTGATTTACTGTAACATTACGAAATGTGAATTTGTTATAGGCTCATGTATTTGTTCTTGTTCTTCTTCTGTATTTGTGGGGTCTTTCTCTTTATCTCTGGGCCTCCTTGGACATAATTAAGTCCTCTGATGTAGACCAACACGGTCCTCAAGCACATGAATAAATAATGTAAATGTCGGCTAAAGGGCACTTTGAAGAGTCACATCATTTCACTCGGAAATCTAAGCAAGCCCCCTGTACCGGCACTGTGACGTGTTTGAGGTAATCTGTGATTCAAGGTTAAGGTCATTCAGAATAGTGAATTGTTTTGTTAGAGATTTAGACTTTTAAGTACCTCAAGAAAACACAGACAGCATGTTAGATAATGAACGCTTTTAATTCAATCGTCCATCTGCTAAGATTATTTATAAATTGGATTCAGCCTATTTACTTACAAACTAAACTGATGCACATGACTCTATCTCGTTTTCCCCCCTGCGGCCCGGGTGTTCAGGAACACTTCAAATGCTTTTTCTAAGTAGGTTATAATGGCATTTTAGATGAAAGATGTGATGTTCACACTAACGACACAGGGTAAAACAAAATACATTTATTGTATAAGTTAATCTCTTTCTCAATCTCATATTTATCATCAAAGCTAAATGAATTGTAATCTTTATTGACATTTCAGGGCCCTTTCTGGACGACTCTGTTCTGCTATCAGATCTCTTTGATGTCTTCTTTGTTTTAAATATTTAGTGCACTGTTACTTCCTTGTCACTTGCTGGCTTAAAGACACCACCATTATGAGGTCAGTTAAGAGCACTCTCACCACACTTGATCTTTAAAAATTCTGCCGAGTGTACAAATGAGGTTTTATTATTGACTTGTCATCATGGAGAACAGTAAGCGGGAACAACCCTCAGGGAAAAACCTGATGGGGCCGTTTCTACCCTGTTTAGAGTATACCTTGTTTGATGGCCAGAGAAACTGCCCCAGGCCTGCCTTGGGGAAAACTGAGATGTTTAAAAGCACAGTTCTCACCACACCCAGCCTTAAAGGACGACCGGCAATGTGATGCCCACAGGGAGACCCAGGCACTCTGTTTGAGAAGTCGGCAAAACTATAGAGATCGAACTCAGAGGATTCTGCCATGTTCCTCCTCTGAACAGTGACTCCCTTTCGGATGACCCTGCCACGATGAGAGATTTGTTTCTCAAAGAAATTGGGGCGCATATCTGGAGCACTCAGGAACATTATGCTCACAAATATCCAAGGACAAGACAGAGGCAGAGCACCATCAACAAGTCCCACCCTTTTTTCCGTCAGGCTGCCCTCTCTCAGAGGAATCCGATCTCTGAAGGTCTTCACTAAGGTGTCTCCATCAGGCAACAAAACAGCTTGAACAACTGGACTGTTATATCCTGGACCCAGCTCTACACTACTGCTTAAACCCTCTTATTATATCTTGCTGTAAAACTGCAAAACAAAGAAAAGCTGATGCTACTGCACTAGTTGGTATGGCTATCACTGACTGAGCACCAGCAGTAGCTAAAATCTGACTTAATAATACTAGTACGATTATGATATCTTATCATCATCATCAATAATTGAATGACATACTACCTCCCTGCTCTCTCTGAGGTTTTGCTCCTTGGCTAGCCACCTCTCCTCCTTACACCTGTTGCTGTATAATGGTTGATAGTGTGCTACTGCTGCAGTCCATGCAGCAAACATAGATGTGATTTGTGCATTTTTAGTGGTATCCACATCTAGATTATAGATTTTTTTGGCCCTCCCTTTCGTTTTTGCTTTTCTATCCGGACAATTGAAAAAGACGCCCTCTTTTATCCACAGATGTTTGGCTCTGAGCCACAGTATCTAACACAAGAGACAGAGAGGAAAGAGGGAGAGGGGTGGGGCTAGCCCAGTAAGAGATGTGATTGGGCCAGCATAGTGTCATTATAGCTGCCCCTGCTTTATAGGCTTATCCTTTGTATACGTTTGTGTACATGTAATTATATCGGCCCAGAGGCGTGACACTCTCTTGCCAAAAAGAAGATTGATACTCTCACATCTGTCCGTTAAGACTACAGCCAGCAGCCAGTTAGCTTAGCTTAGGACAAAGACTGGAAACATCAAGAAACGGCTAGCCTGGTTCTTTCTGAATATTAAATCCATCTACCAGCACCTCTATAGCGAACTAAGTTACACACTTTTATATAAGGTGTTTATTTAATTCATACAAAAACCAAAGTGTAAGGATGACAATTTGTGGTTAATGTTTGGCTGGGCACTGTGACTTCCATAATTAGTGAGCTTTAAGGGTGCTGGTAGGTGTATTATCTTCAGATAGCTGTTTACCTCTGTTTCCAATCTTTATGCTAAGCTAAGATAACCTGCTGCTGACTCTAACTTTATACTTACAGATAGACATGTGATTGGCATCGATCCTCTCATCTAACCTTGCAAGAAAAAATAAAATTGAGCTTATGTCCCAAAATGTCAAACCATTGCTTTAAAGAACACCCTCGTTGTCCAAAGTTTACAGTGATCAAGGTAGAACAAGCCACAGCTGACGGGTAATTTTGAGTCTGAAAGTACAGGGTTTGAGCCTGTCAGCCATAGCTGAGACCCCAGGATCCTGCCATCTTCCCAGCCAACTACTGACCCACTGAGCCCACATCACCAATGCATCACCACCGCCACAGTCACCGCTCCTATAGCTTCAGCACAGCAGCTGCTTTCAGCCAATGGGCTCCCTTGATGCCTCGCTGATCTACATCCAGGTCAAGGATTCCACAGACAGGGTCAAAGATCCCGTTGCTATGGTGACAGAGCTGGGGCAGGACAGTGGAAGTCTTGTGATGCAGTTGGCTGAAGCAGGGGAAGCCATGGCAGGAGAGAAACAATGATGGGGCCAACATTGCAAATAATAAACCTGTATTGGTTTTTTAATGAATCGATCAGTTTCAACACGTGTTTTCACTTTCTATTACCCGCAGTTGGGAATAACTTGGAGTCAAATATATAAAGCGGCCCTTTTTTTAGCACACTGAACATTTGGTGAGGCGACTGTTCGGTTTATTGCCTAAAACACTTCATAGAGACATCAGAAGTGGGTTTGTGTTCCATGGTGCAAATTGT